GAAGCAGCGCCCGGCGACGCGAGCGAACGCAGAGCGTCGCAGATTGAACCAAGCAGTGCAGCCAGGCTGTTCACCTCCACGCTGCCACCCTGCTGCTGTCGAACGGGCAATTACAGAAATGGGCTGCCTCCCCCAGTGCCGCCAACTTCCCCCAGTGCGTCTGCCTCGCCGCTGGCACACCGCTGGCCTCGGGGCTTGCTGCAGTCGGCCCGCTCGCAGTTGGCACCACTGATGTTTGGCGAGAGTGTCATCACCCTGCTCCCCCTCCCCCCGGCTCCCCCCGCCAGCCTCCGCCCGCCTCTGCCGGCTTGACATGGCGATGTTTCTGGCAAAGTTTGAGATAAGTACACCGGCTGCAAAGTCCTTGCGAGCTAACACCTACACAACGCCGCTAAGCCCCCGGCAGCCCCTCGCAGCGCCCGGCCGCGCCCGTACACGTCGCAATTTCGTGCAGGACAGCGTGGTCGCAGTGCGCGTAACCGAAAGCGGGGAGAGAGAGAGAGAGAGAGAGAGAGAGAGAGAGAGAGAGAGAGAGAGAGAGAGAGAGAGAGAGAGAGAGAGAGGCAGTGAGGGTTGCCAACCCTCTAACAGGGAAAACCGCCGCGCCGATAGGTAGGCAACCCCACACACGCCGGCTGCCGCGGCCAATTTGAATGTCAACGTCACTAATTACGGTGTGCGCCCGACCTTATCACGCGTGTCGAATTAGGGAAGGTTAGGTGAGGGCGGAGGGTGCGGAAAATGCACCCCGCTGGACACGTAACGGCTACACTGCTGGAGATCGGTTTGAAATGAAATCATCCTAGTTCAAGAGCAGTTGATTCAAACTAAATATTATGCCACCCACGTGCGCGGTGACTTTTATCATCATCCAGGCCACTGTAAAAAGTCCCGCGAAACGTCCCTGAACGTCCCGCCACCGCCACCGCCGTCGCGTTACCGGTGCCCCTCCCATGAGCTCCGGGCGTTGTCAACGCCCGATTTTATTTCCTGATAGAGGTCCCCTAGTGGCGGGTGGCGGCCCTGGCGGCCCGGGCGGCCCCTCGGCCAGGTGCTGAGCAGCAGACTGACTCCGAGAGTCCTTTCCGTCGCTCTGTCTCTCTCGCACCTACATGGGACGGTGCATGAGTGCGAGAGAGACGGAGCGACGAAAAGGACTCGCGGAGGCGGTGCGCAGGGGCAAGCAGGGCACGGGTTTCCGGCCGTCCTCTCGCCTGCAGGCAAAGGCAGACCCAGGCGGGAGGCGCCACCTGGGGACGGGGCGCGACGCGACGCGGGGACACAACCGCTCCACATGCTGCCGCGGCGACGCCACGCCGACGCCAAGGACAAAGGACTCTAGAGGCGCTTTCCCCGGAAGAGGAAGGGCCTCTTCGAACGGAAACCGAGCGGCTGCCCGAACGGCAGCGCGGTAGTGTTTCGAGTGTACGGACTGAGATGCTGGTGGCGGCGCCGTGGTGCGGGCTGCGGGGGCTGCGGGGTTCTCCAGGGACATTAGTATTCGGTGGCGCATCATACCTGCGCCTTGCCGCGGCGTTCCGGCGTGCCGTGCTGTGTGAAGTGCTGGGACACGCGCGACACCAGGGGCGGGAGGGGGAGGGGGTGCATAGGCAACCAGCAGGAAGGCGATAAGCATCGCAAGGTACATAGCAGGTGTTTAGACGGGCACATAGCAGCGCCTGCAGGGCTCTGACCCAGCGGGGCGGGCCCAGGCCTCGGCCCGGGCCGCGACGCGTATGGAACCAGGTGATAGCGTCACCGCGTCGTCACCGGGGGCTTACTGCGGAGGAAGTAGGGGGAGACCGACCGGAGCTTGGGGGTTTTCGTCCGTCTGTCGCGTGGGCGCGGGGGCGGCGGCGCGTTGGCGGCGCGCAGATCGCCGACGACGACAAGAAGTGCTCCCGAGCCATTACGGCAGCGCCCCGCGGCCACGGCGGCGACACGGGGCGGCACGGCGGCGCGCTTGGGGTGGATGCAGAGCGGCTTTCATCCCAACCCTTTTCGCGCCACGGCTGCCGAGGGAGGTATGTCTTCTGACGTGCCGCCCCTCGCGGGATGCTCATGATGCGGTGTGCGAGTGAGTGAATGTGAGTGAGTGTGCGAGAGAGAGGCCCACAGTGTGGGACTTGCCGTGAGTTCACCGTCAAGCGACTTGGCGCGCGCTCTGCCTTTTGCTGGATTATGTCGCGTCAGTGTAGGACCACCTCCCTCGTCACACACTTCCCACACGCCACCACACTCGCGAAGCCTTGCTCTCCGACTGCGTCCCCAAGATACCAGGTCGAAAAACAGCTACATTTTAATTTCAATTGAATTTAAATTTGCCAATGCGCGTAGCGTTTGCTATTTACCGGGCATGCACTGGGGGCTTTCTGCACCCCTCTCTCCAGTCAAGCCAGGGAGGCCGAGGGACTCCGCTGCCCTCCTAGCAAACACTCGGCTAACTCCGGGGCCCTCCGCCTACCCCACGAGGGGCTCCAGGAGGGGCTCGGCCTGCTCAGCCTGCTCGCCCGGTCAATGAATGGGGTGAATGATGCACGCGCATCCGCCCGCAGAACACCCACAGGGCTCGCGCCACTCGCGCCACTCACGCGCGGTAGCAGCGCCCCGCCGGCCGGTCGGTTCCGGAGGATCGTCTCATCGCCCTGCCTCTCTCGCGCCCGTGAGAGCGACAGAGACAGCGCGACGAAACAGCCAAGCAGCCTCGGCTGGTCCCGCCGCAGCCACCGCTTGCAACAGAATCGGTGACGACTTTGGCGACCGCCAAGCTCTCCGCAAACAACCCCAACTCCCGCAGCCCCTGAGCCGCCGCCGAGGCCCGGCCGTGCCGCGCCGTGCCCCCACATCCTCCTCGGAAGCCACATCAGAGGGGAGTCCTGGCGGGGGGCGCGTCTTGATCCTTGACGGCGTGCTCGCGGACGGCCCCCGGCGTGTCACCGGCGTAGCGCGTCGCGGTGCCGCGGAGCCCTCCGGCCCTCCAAGAAGTCCGTCGTGCGCCCCGCCGCGCCTACAGGGTCGGGTCGGGTCGGCCGACGCGGCGCTGCCGCGCTCACGTTTCACCTGCGTCGTAATGGACTCGTTTCCCCGGCAAAACGGCGTGGAGGCGCGACGCGGCGAGCGGTCTATTAATGCGGCGCCAATAAAAGTAGCGCCTTGCAACGCACCGCCGGATTGAGCAAGTTTGCATGCTGTGCGTGTGCGTGTGCGTGTGTCTGTGTGTCTGTGTGTGTAGGTGTGTATTTGTGTGTGTGGAGGAGCCGCCTATCCCCAGCCAGTACCCACGCAGTCTCAACGAGCGTGCATGTGTGTGTGCGGCCCGCGGCGGGCGCGGGGTTCGCATTGCTGCAAGGCAATATAAATACTGGTGATGCGGGGGGCGCCGAGCCGCGCCGCGTGGAGCGGTGAGCGCCGGCCGGCGGCGGGTGACTGCGGGCAAGCCGGGCAGGCCGGGCAGGCCGACCAGCAACTGCAGGCCATGAATCGCGCGCAAGATATACTCTGTTTGCAACCGTCCATTACCTTTCGCCAGGCCTTCGCGGCAATCATTCAAACGTGCCGCCACGCCCCGCGCCCCCACCGCGCGCTACGCGTCCACGCGCCCCCAGCGGCCCCGCGGCTCACGGCCCGACGAGGCGAGAGAGACAGAGCGACGGCGCCCCACCGTCCGAAGACGCCGTGTCACGAAGCCGCGCAGGCCAAGTTTTTGACGTGTCCGTCTTACCCCCGCTGCTGGAGTACGTCGCGGTGATGCAGTTTGCAGGGGCCCGTAATTCCGAAGGGGGAAGGGGGCCCTGGGGGGCGATGGGCGTAGCGGAGGGGGGGGGGGGGGGGGGTGTCCGCATGCTCAAAGACTCGCCTCATGATACGCCTAATGTCATTATTATTCTCAGCAAACGACGCTTGGCAGTCCCGCGGGGAGGAGCCGGGGAGGGGGGGGGCGAAGGGCAGGTGGAGGAGGAAGGGAGGTCCTTGAGAGTGTGGCGACCTAGTTAGGCGCAGGCACACACATTTTCGTCGCGTCGACGAGAAAATGACGTAATGAAATTACCCCGGTAATGACAAGAGTCGGCGATACACTAATGCCCCCTCTGTGTCGCTCACACACGTCTCGACGCACCCATACACTCGCACGCACTGATCAGTGGATGCACGTGTAAAGGACCGCGTTGGACTCCGCGCGGCAGGCTGCTGCCGGACAGAGCTTTGTCTTTGTCGCGTCTGTCTGTCTTAGCGGACGCCCCACGAGTGCGAGAGAGACAGAGCGATGAGAGCGCCGTTCGGAGTGAGCCTGCTGCTGGACCGCGGCACCGCGGCGCTACCCCTTGCCCCGAGGTCCGCCGTGGTCCGCCTCGGCGCGCTGACTCACAAATGCGTCTGGCGGGGCGGGGCGGGGCGGGGCGGGGCGGGGCGGCCGGGTCGCGCGGTCCAGGACAATGGGTGCAGGGCGGGGCACGACGGCGAGGGACCGAGGGAACGATCCGCCCCACAAAGTGTCGCTGGCGTACAGTGTGCCCTCGAACGCCTCGAACCCATGCGGCACGGCCAGCCCGACCTCTAAAAAAAAAAAAAAAAAAAGCCTCTCAAATAATTTTTATTTCCTACACTCTAGAGTTCTTACGGATGAGTCATATCCATAAGGTACGGAGAGTACATACTGATCCTCCGTTATTACATCAATATGTGTCTAAAGTATGGACTTTTATTTCTGTATTACAGTTGACAAACATCTCGAGCTGCCATGAACTTTTGTATGGATAAAATTGTCCGCAAGTACAATCACACTTGCAGGTCTATGAGTATGGAGCAATCTAACCTATCACACTAATCCATGCTTACAACGACTCAATAAAAAATTTTTAAGAAAGGGAGTACAACAGTCATAATACATCCATCACGGTACGCTTGCACAGAAAGCGCAGCAATCTATTGGTAGATACGCAACTTGGACAGCTTTCAATTTTAAAAACACTAACCAACTAGTTAAATTAATCAGTTCTTACCTGTAGTTGTAGTGCATTGGTGCGTGATGCCAAGTTGAGTCTCTCCGACCAAAAATGGGAACGGCTGATCTCCACACGCAGACACAAATGACTTCAAAATCGGAGAATCATGGTCAACACCATATTTTGATCAAGGAAATGAGTCATACCATTGTTCTTGAAATAAAAAGGCACTCAGATATCACCATCAATTTGTTCTTGAAGCTATGAAACACTATTAGAAGTTTCCTCACTTTTGTCCTGGGAAAATGTTTCCCCGCGCTTCGTGAAGATAGGTTAGTCCGCCCGAAGCTGGGTTGAGATTTTTAGGCGCAACGGAACCTGTCAACCCATGTCGCGCACCTCCGCGTTCCCTTGGTTCAATTTGGTTCATGCTTTCACGTTTTTGTAGATCCAGACCGGTGGTAAAAGCTTCGAAACGAAGTAAAAGAACGAACTGGCAAACGGGCAAAAACACTGATTCACAAACAAACAACAACACAGCGGCGAGGCCTGGGCGGGCGGCAAAGCTGCTGCCGCTAGGTGGCGCCACTAGCGCCACTGAGCTAGGCTACTATGACAAATCGCTCGCGCAGAGTACTTGTTTTCATCGAGTTCGACGCTTACAGGCCTCAACAATATCGTACCAGCTCTGCAGCTTCTTCCTACTTCTTCCCTGCTTCATGTTGGCACATCCGCAGGAACTCCAGAGTGTACATTTCCGCCTTGATGAGAGGCCGAAATGAGCCGAGACTTTTGATCTCTGTGCTCGCGCGAGCTGTAAGTACTCGCGCAAGTTCAACGCGCTCTGGCCGCTGTACAGTACGCAGCACCTGCCGTCAAGGGACGCCAGCCCAGCCACCCCCGCGCCGGCTGCACAACGCCCCGCAGCCTGGCGGGGCGTGGCGGGGCGTGGCGGGGCGTGGCGGGGCGTGGCGGGGCGTGGCGGGCGTGGGCGGCGCTGCCGCCGCGGCCGGATTACAAGCCGAGTCGATCAGACGGTTTAATCTGCTTACATCAAACACCCAATTAGTTTGTTGCGCTGACTCTTGCGGGGGCTTTGGCACTGCTTGGCTGTGCTTCCCTCTGCTTTGCGCAGTCCCTCACTTTCACAGTGGCCGGCAGAGGCAGCTCCACTTTATTCCGATCTGGATTATCGCCTGGGCTGGGCGGGTATCGCCGAAAAGCCACCGCCCCATTCCGAAAGCCTCTGTCTCTCTCGCTCGTCCTCAGGCACACTGGAAAGCTCACAGGCGGGCGTAACTCGCGAGGCGACTCGCAAGGCCCCCCCTCCACCAACTTACCTCCAGTGGCGTGTCCGTCAGACAATGTAGTGGTAATAGGATTATTGTTCTAACTCGCCGCGTTGACTCGCTGGATTTGGGGGCGAGGAGTGGAGAGGTGCGCCAAGCTAACCGCTGTTACTGGGAAGCGGCGGTAGGTCCGCGTGCCTGTGTGTGTGCGCGCGCGCGCTGTGTGTGTGTGTGGCCACTCCTCGTTGAGGACACGCATCCCATCATAGCTGAGACGACCACTTCTCCAGCGGCAAGGCTGCCGTTGTGTCGTACGGGTGGATGGAGCCTTGCTGTCTTGTTGTTATTGCGAATGGAATTTCACGAGCGCGTGTGTGCCCATGTCAGTGTGTGTGCGAGCGTGCGTGCGCAGCGTGTGTGTGTTTGTGTGAGTCATGTCACGCCGCCGGACGTCGCGCAGAAACAATGAGACACCTGTGTGATTCGACGCACGCCTCGCACCAACACACACACACTCGCCGGTGCAAACACTTTTAGCTGCAGGACACACGCAGTCTCTGCTGATCGGCTTGTTAGCGTGCATATCTCCTGGGAGCATCACGAGGCCGTAGTGGCCGGGCCGGGCCGGGTCGGCCTTCCCCGCAGGCCGCCTTCCTACGCCAGTCACGTGCTGCGGACAGCGTATTCAAAATATCCGGACGTTTCTATCAGCGGTCTCTTCACCTCTACGTACCCCCCGAGTCTGGTCCGGACGGCCCGCAGACTTTACTGCACATTCTAAGGGGTCGGCCAGCCGGAATGACAGCCAGCCCGGTCTGTCCGGCCGGCCGGCTGGCTGGCTGCTCCGTCTGCTCGTCCGCCTTGACCCCTCCCGCGGGGCCGCGGGGCCGCGGGGCACAGACGGACCCGCCCGCTCGCGTGAAAATTCAATTGTCGCTGCGCTGCGCGTCTCGAGGTGTAAGTCGACGGGGGCGCCTTCATTGTCAGTTAGGCGACAAAGGCGAGCCAACTTGGCTCCGTGTTTTCCGGTGTGGGGCCGAGTTCGGCAAGCGTCGCGCTGCCGCGTCGGAAAGCGACATTTAGTGAACGCTAGTTCGGAGATGTAGTTGACATTCAGCAGTGTTGGTGGGAGGTGGGAGGTCCTCGCTTTGCAGACCAGCCGTTCGCAACAACGAATCCGAATCGTTTACCGCTTGTCTTTTCTGAGCCAGCGCTGCTGTGCTGCTGTCGAGGCACCCCTCGCCGCTGGGAGACACTGGGGGAAGGGGTGCCGCTTTGTGCGACTGTCCGTCCGACCGGCCGGCAAAATTTGAGATTTGCGCGCCGCTGTGTCCTCTTCGCCTCGTCCTCGTGAAATATCCAGGCCGCGTCCTGGGGGATTTTTCGTCCGGGACGCGGCGCCCTGAGAGAGAGAGAGAGAGAGAGAGAGAGAGAGAGAGAGAGAGAGAGAGAGAGAGAGAGAGAGAGAGAGAGAGAGAGAGAGAGAGTCCGCGCAGTTACGACGCTTTGCGGCTGGAGCGGGTTCACAGAACTCTGTTTTCGGCACGCCTGGCGTCGCTCCACAGTCGCTCCGGCGGGCACGTTTCATCGCGTCGTCAAGTCACTGTGGGCCGCTCAAGCCCCGCTAACGCAATCTGGACAAAATCTCTGCGTGATCAGCCTGCAGTGGGATTTGAACCCGAGCCGCCGCCGTCGCCGCGGGCATTGTCGCTGAAATGGGGCATTCCTCTGCTGAGACAAACGCGAGAGCCGACCCCCTCAGCCTCGCCCTCGCACACACACTCTGAAGAGGAAAATTCGCAGGGTGGTGTGTGTACGAGTAAAATCCGGTCGCATCAATAACTTGCCGTGGTGGCCGTTCCGCTCTCGCCGGGTATTGAACCCGCGTCACACAGCCGCACGCGTGCACCGTGCGCGGACTTCGGCCCATAATCAACATTCACTGCAGGTCGTGCCCAGCCAGCGACCTCTCTCTTTCTCTCTCTGCCAGCCGGTCTGTCCGTCTGTCCATCCGTCCGCCCGCCTGTCCAGCAATCCCTGTGTACAGTCACAGAATGATATCAACCAAAGTGTATTGGCTTTTGATGGCGCGCGGCCTGCAGGGCTTTGGAATGTCGTCGCGTTTGTTGGCGTCCACCACGTTCCACTACACTAACAGGCGCCCGTGTCCGTTTTGGCCCTTCCAGGTGAAAGTGGCGGTCGCCGTGTCGTTCGGTAATTTAGAACGACCGCAGCACGGGCCGCAGCGAGCGACGCCCACGCGTCTCTCTCCGTCTCTCTCGCACTCGCGGGCCGCGCCGTCAGGGTGCGAGAGAGACGGAGCGTGGCCACACCGTGTCGCTGGATTGTGTTCCAATCTGTGGCCACAAGTCGTTCCTCAAGTCCTGATTTGGACGCGTGTCCTGTGTGGTGTAGGGCCCTGTAGGGCTGTGGGGGAAAGTAGTTTCCAAAGGGACTAATTTCAACAGGACCTCGCTCACAGACCATGGTCAAAGTTTCTCCATGCTGAATATTCTACATTGTCAGTATGTACAGCTAAATTTGCAACGATCCGAAACAGGGGCACAGAACTGGAAAGGTGCGCTGAAAAGAATTAGAAAGAATTAGAAATTTTAACATTATATCGAGAGTTCAAACAGCACGGTGTGGGCAGCACTAGCGCGCTCGGCTCAACAGATGGGCAAATTGAAAAGGGCGCCGGTGACGAGCCGTGAACGCCGTGAACGAGGTGGGCGGGCGACGCACGCGGCGGCGCTCTGTCGCCATGTAAATCGTGGTGACGGACAGACGCGCTGGCAGACACACAAGTGACACGCGGCGACATTCACGAGAAACCCCGCCTCTATATTTCTCATCCTCGCGCTTCTGGAGGTCGCCGTCGTCGCGTTCAGACTAATGCAAGCCGACTCCGTTTTCTTGTCGGGGCTTTGCCGGCGCCGGGATTCGAACCCCCGTCACGTCGTTGGCGCGCCGCGCGCACCGCGTGGACTGTCCAAAACGAACCAAAGCGGCGCATCGCATCCCGACCCGCACGGCCCAAGGCACGGCCCACGAATCTCAACGCGTCCCAAAGATTAAAACAAATCGGGCCGACAAGGCCCGCGGTCGGGCTGGGCCAGCCGGGCCACTGTCGAATAGTCCGCGCCTCTCTCTCGCACTCCCGGGCCGGCCGGCAGGGGTGCGAGAGAGACGCACTGTTCGGATTCAGCCCGCGGGCCGGCCCTCGAGACGCCGCCAACGGCAGCCGGTTTCAGACTGCGCTCGTGTGTGAGTGTGTGTGTGTGTGTGTCCCCTGAACACGTTCGAACACACGACGTCCAAATCCTCTCCAAACATGCGTGCGTGTCGCCGTGTCGCGCCTTCGTGTGTGAGATGTCACGCCGCGTTAAAAATACACGCGGACAACCCAGCGGGCGAGCCGGGCCGAGTCGGGGCGCACTGCACGGGGAGGGGCGGAGTGGGGCTGGGTCCCCCGCGCAACATGCCTCTGCCGTGCTTCCAAGACAACAACTGTAACGCCGTGCAGTTCAAGGAGGAGAAGGAGAAGGGGAGGGAGAAGAAGGAGAAGGAGAAGGAGAAGGAGAAGGAGAAGGAGAAGGGAGGGAAGGAGAAGGAGAAGGAGAAGGAGAAGGAGAAGGAGAAGGAGAAGGAGAAGGAGAAGGGGGTTGTCCGCTGACCGCCACATGATAAGCATTGCGCGACTCATAAACAACTTTCGTCGCATTCCCCTTCGGAAAAACCGGAAAAACACTTCAAAGTCCGATTGCGACAAAGTCCGCGGGGCGCGCGGCGAAATTTCCATTCTCCATAGCGAAGGGTGTGCGCCTTGCCGCGCCGCGCTGCCGCCGCCGACGACGGCGCCGCTGATGTGAAAAAAGTCACCTCTGAAAAATGGTGGAGGGCGGAGGAAAATAAAAATTCCCTCCCGCGAGTGTGTTGTGTGTGGCACGCGGCGCGCCAAGCGGCACGCCAAGGTGCATAGCCAGGGCCGCGCGGCCGCCGTGGCGGGGTGCGGCTGCGTCCGCGTCGACGCCCCCGCCACCCGGAACGGCGCGACGCCGTGGCGGCCGTCGCGGCGCCTTTGCACGCAGCCCGGGGGTGGCGCGGCGCGCCCGTATATACCTTTGGAATGCAAAGCCCGCCCCGCCCGCCCAGCCCGCCCAGCCCAGGGACACAAATTAATAAAATATGGAACGCACTTCGGCGCCCTGTTCCTCGCGTTCGGGGCC